CAACAAAATCACTACGTTGGGCCAACTATGGGCCATGGTTTTGTGTGAATTTTCATTTATTGGCCCAACAATGAGCCAACATGATGGGCCACTGTGGAGCCGATGAGCATATCCAAGTGGGCCCATCGTCAGTTTGACAACCATGGGCCAACCAAACCGGTGATTATGGGCCAACTATGGGCCAACATATCATTGCTATCTGGGAAGTCCTTCCTTCCGCTACAAGTCCTTCCTTGGTGACACAGGTTGGTTGGGGGGAGCAGGGATGTTGAACATCATGGCTACCCAACTACACACTGATTCACGTTCTTAGACTAAAAGAATTCACATTACTGATGCTGTAACATCTTCCGAAGAAACTTTACACATTAACAATTTTTTGTCACGATTTTTGGTTGTCAATGGAATCGATGGTGTGCCCTTCCAGATCAATCCATTTATTATCTCAAAATCTATGAAAGACATCTGTGAACTGTCAAAAATGTTACTCGTCTCCGGTCGAGCTCCCTTCTTGTGGAATGAGCTAAGTGACAACAATCTCTAAATCTTCTCAAAGCTAATCATTTTCCAAATACTGTGATTGTCGTCTCAAGCCACAAAACACTCAATTCTTGTAGAGGCATTGTACGTGATCGTGCAAAATGCATATCAGATATGTCTGAAGAGGAGATTGTAGCAGAAATGAAATTTCAAGGAGTCCTATCAGTAAAACAGTGCACCAGGAAAGAAGGTGACAGCACCATCAAAACCAATACATACCTTTTCACGTTTGCTCTCACAAAGATTTCTCCTTCTGAAGCAGGATTTTTTAGCATCAGAGTGGATGTGTACATACCAAGTCCGCTCCGTTGTTTTAACTGCCAACAATTTGGACATAGTATGAGATGTTGAAACACCCAAATTTACTCCCGTTACCGTAAAAGTACTTTCGCAGTTCATAATTTAAATAACGTAAATTCTAATATAAATAAACCAAGGCTCGACGTACTTTTAATCAAAGTAAGCGTCAGTCTTGGAAGAGTTTTGTATCAAAGATTAATTCACGTACACCAATGACGAAGGTGTGGAACATGATACAGAGAATCAAGGACAAAGGTAGAAACTCTAGTGTTCATCATCTTAAAGATATATGTTATATGTTAACTGATAACACTGACATTGCAAACAAGTTGGATGAAACGTTAGCTACCCATTCTTCTTCGTCAAATTATAATCCATAGTCTCAGAAATATAAAATTTATCAAGAAAAGCTGAAAATTAACTTTCATTCTGATAATGGTGAAGACTTAATAAAGTATGTTTCACTTCATGAGTTGAATACTGCCTTGGCGCAAGCTCATGATACGGCATCAGGAGCTTATGATTTCCACTGTCAGCTTCTGAAACACTTACCCAACCCATGTCTGGAAAAACTTCTGAACATCATTTTATCATATTTGGACAAAAGGGCCCTTTCCTATTTCATGGCGTCATGCCATTGTTGAACCAATACCTAAGTCTGGCCGGGACCATACAGATCCATCTAACTATATACCAATTCCATTAACTACATGCGTTTGTAAAACCATGGAGCGCATGGTCAATAATCGACTGGTATGTCTTTTAGAAACCAATAATCTTATTACAAACATTCAATTTGGTTTTCGCAAAAATAGAAGCATTATTGACCATTTGGTTCGCCTAGAAACATTCATTAAGAATTCAATTGCAAACATCCAGCATGCTGTATCAATCTTCTTCGAACATGAAAAAGCTCATGATACAACATGGAAACATGGTAGTTGAAGGTAGAAATTCTAGTGTTCATCATCTAAATGATTGACACAATGTGTTAACTGATGATATCCACTGTCAGCTCCTGATGATATCCACTATCAGCCCCTGAAACACTTACCCAAAGAGATTTAAAGGATGTTGGTGTGAGAGGCCGTTTGCCACAGTTTGTAGCAGAAAGACAATTTCAAGTTCGTGTTGGATCAACCCTGTCTGACCATATCAATAGTCTCTTAAAAGTATTAAATGTTTGTTAAATTGTTTGTGGATGACTTTAATGTCTCATGTTGTGGTGAAAATATGCATACCACTGAAAGACAATTACAAATGTGCTTAAATACAATTCATAAATGGTCACTTGGGAATGACTTTAAACTTCCAGACTAGCCTTCTCTTAACCAATGCCGTATCTTTGCAGTATGTTGATAAACTTTATGCAAATGAGTCCAACCCTGCATGAGGATCCCCTCTCTCAATTGCGTAGATCGATGCTCATGCTATTGATCCCTGGATCGTCTGGTCTAGACTCGATTATTTACAGACCGCCGCCATATAGCTGGAATATTGCTGGGTGCGGCGTAAAGATAAACTCACTCGCTCACTGTAACCCGTTTTCAAAACTGTATTGTTCAAAATAGAAATAGAGATAGAGATAGATGCTAGTTTGAAATCATTTTCTGTGATATTCTAGTTGTTTTTACTGTCCTTCATCGGCAGGTTTTATAATTTAACAGAATTTATTATGAATCTATATCTTAGTCACGATATAGTTAAATTATTGCCAATCTGAATTAATATCTTAAATCATTCACGTTGCAGTTGTGTTTTCAGTGAGTGAAATATGCCATTTAAGACTTCCCAATGTCAATGGCATCGTGCTGATAACCCAATGATATGTATAAAATCAATTTCTTGATACGCATCATAATCATGATATCGTTATATCAAATCTATTTGAGGTAAGCAACGTTGGGCGCGGAGAGGCTTGGATGGGTGACCGTGTTTGGCAGCTTGACTCCTGAGAGTGTCAAGGACTTCAGTCCAGCCCCACAATGAAACACATGTGATACCTATGGTCTCACCATAGGCAAGTGAGCTTGTTCACCCTTACCTCTGTTCAACCTGCAGAAAATGGGTACCCGGTGGGAAAAGTCATGTGGCTAGTAACATTCTAGCGCCTCACAGGCAACTTGGGTTATGCGGGATAATATTGACCATATTGTGTGCTCGCGCTTTGAGCATGTGCCTTGTATATTCATGTGCCTTTAGATATTATTAAATTCACCATTATTATAGCGATAAATTACATCAGTTGTATAACAAAAGACATAAAAATTATAACAATGAAATAATTTATTACAATACGAATATAAGATTTTTCTCGTCGTACAGATTTTCAAAATCAAAGCTGTTATTGTTGATCACTGAACAGCCTGTTCCAGACTCGATTACTTACAGACCGCAGCCATATAGCTGGAATATTTCGGCGGCGTTAAACAGCGAACAAAATCAAAATTACAAATACGTTCATGTGAAAGAGCGACAGGAGACCGTAAAATCCCCCCTCCCCCTGGTAGCCTCCCCCTCGCTCGCTGCTGAGGAGAAACCTGTTGAAACGTTTTAGTTCTGAGAAAACACAAAAGGATAGGCGTGGTTCTGACGTTAGCGGTAATCAGGCCACACCGGTTTCCTCACCCAGCAACGTGATGCCAGGTAAAGGGACGCAACTCTGTCTACCAAGACGGCTTCTTGAACCGCCTGTCGATAGCGACACCGACGCAACAGTCCCTCTTGTAGCTCAAGCCATAAGAATAATTACAGGGGCGTAGCTACCATTATGAAAAAAAAGCCCGGGATTACACATGAATTTTGCTGAAAAAATTATTTTTTTTCTAATTCTTGCTAAATATACCTCAAATACTATCGAAATATAAAGCTTTGCAACCTATCGCGCTTACACGAAAAAAGCCGCTTGCTACGCGCCTGAATTAGGACAGACAAATTTCCAGGTATATTTGTGACAACAACTTGTCAGTCATAACCTTGTTTGATTATTTTGTCAATATGGTGGAGTTAATGTCAGAATATGTTTACAATGTAAAATTATATTTTAATCATTTCAAAAATACGTTTAAAGAAAGAGGGTTTAAAATACTAGCATATTCTTTCTTCTGCACAGATGGAGGAAGGTTTGGGCGGGGCAGAGGGGAGAGTACGCACAAACAATCTCTCCTCAGGAGATAGAATCGTGTGAGTGTTTGCTTTGATTTGTACGCAACTAGATGTTTCGCTAAGATAAAGAATACAATGGCGTTACGGACGCGGTATCACGTGACTCATGCTGTACACGGATAAGGAAACCGACTCACAGGGCAACCAGTACATTTGTTTGCATTCATGAAATAAATTTAGATGAACGTGAGTTTTGCACAGCCGTCACAAATAGTGGGAAGTTTCATTGTTAACACGTTCGCTCGTCAGGCATTTGTCCCGGGTTCGATTCCCCATAGGCTTAATATGTGAGGTTAGCTTGTTGGCATATTGCTACCCGCACAGCTCAAACATCAAATAGTGTCACTAAAAATACAAACATACAAATACTAAAAACCATTGTCAGATAGTATCTAAGGGCAATTATTCACAGGAAGTCTATAATAAATACGTTCATCATGCATTGAGCGTCGAGATGGCTGAGGCCTATTCATATGTTAGCAGAGGTCATACGCGATTCACTGCCTTTCACCATTCCAGTTTATCATTTGCTCTGACAGTGTGAATGTCTCCTGTAAGTCTTTTGATCACCATATAATCAAGATCAGTGAAGTATGATATACCAACAGAATCCTCTCTCTGTTCCCAGCGACCAAGAGTGCATCACTTCACCCCCCGCATAGGCCTCTTTACGTCTTTTTTACGCTCCACTTGAATATATCAATAGTATTGACACTTAGCAAATAGGTGACAGCGACTGATTTTTCATTATAGGCAACGGTAAGGAGTGTTATGACGCAGGCGATGGCATGTACAAACTGGAACATTCGGAGAGAGATATGAGAATGGCATCAATACAACGCTGCCGTTAGTGAGTTTAGTTTTACGCCACACACAGCAATATTCCAGCTATATTCTGTAAATAATCGAGTCTGGACCAGACAATCAATCAGGGATCAATAGCATAAGCATCGAGCCACGCAATTGGGATACGATGACGTGTCAACCAAGTCAGCGAGCCTGACCTCCCGATCCCGTTAATCGCCTCTTACGACAAGCATGGGTTGCTGAAGATCAGTTCTAACCCGGATCTTCACGGGTTGCTGTCGGTAGTCACTACAGCTGTATCACAGCGGCGTTCAGACATGGATCTGAACTAGGTAATTCTCTGATTGAACAGAAATACATAACATAATACTGTGATAAAAACAAAGAAACATTGACATGTAACGGGGTATTACTGCGACTGCTTCGTGTCTGAATTCGTTAGAACAGGCAAATGACGGGCTAAATTATGTCGTAATGTAACTGATATGTTTTCTTGCTTCGAACGGTAGCAGCTTAACTGGGTTGCACCATGTCCCTGTGAAGTAGAGGCGTCTCGCGTTGCCTGTTCCGACAAGTATTTCAAGGTCGAACTACTAGGTGCCCAAGTTTCCAACATCATGTGGCCATTGCAGAGGTAGGTGCTTTATTCCAGCAATGTTATTGCTGAACACGAACATTAGGCGTCAAACACAAGCCTGAGTTTAAACAGAACTCAGGTCAACTAACGAGTGAAGGACTTAACTACCAAAGTACCACAGCGACCCATTCAGTGGATATAAAAAGCTTAGATGTACGTGCATTGACTTCTTCCGGTGAGGTAGCCTTCTGGTTAAGGCGTTCGCTTGTTACGCCGAAGACCCGGGTTCGATTCCGGTCAAGTGTACAATGTGTGAAGCCCATTTCTGATGTCCCCCGCCGTGCTGTTGTTGGGATATTACATAAAACGGCGTAAAAACCAAACTCACTTCCGGGGAACTCAAAGACGACAACGCAACTATTTTACAGGGCATACGCCCGCACGAATTCACACGAGTATTCAGTATCACATATATTCTTATAACTTTAATCTTTGATGGAATCCAAAATATGTTTCCCTATTTCAGCAAACATCCCAGATGCATTGTTCAGAGTTGTGGTGTTTTCATACTCTTCTGGGTCCGGATACGTGAAGTGTATTGCATAGGCATCTGTCCTCCAGTTGAAAGGCTGGGAGTGTTGAAAGTCTTTATACTGTGGGTGGAAGATCGGATGGCACTGCAGCCGAAAGCACATCACCTGTAGTCGTGGCTCTATTTTAACCAAATTCGGGTGCCTCTCATATATTTTATAAGGAACCTCGATTGGATTATAATAAAAATCATCATTCCTGTATTTTCTGTAGGTTTTTCTCCAAATGTCTATAAATTTTGATCGTGGTTTTGAAAGCACTACTCCCATATTGATAGAGTCCGGATACGGCTCACGAGGAAGGTGATCTATATCAACAACTACGTCATATCCGGCGGATATGATGTCATCAACAGGTCTCAACCACAAAGCATCCCAGTCAACATAAATGCCACCGTACTTGTATAAAATGTCTCCCCTAAGAATGTCACTTTTATGGTGACGGAATAATACCTGTTTTCCGAAAATTTCCCTTGGGATTTCTCTGAAAACCAGCCTTACTCGCGGGATGACCTTAACCTTGTCCCAGTAAAAGCCCTCCAGTGCATTGTTGCCGTGAATAAAAACTTTGTCCGCTTTGAGCACATATAGTGAACTCATGATGCTTAAATACATAATAAATGTCATATTTGCCTTGTTGTACCAAACATAATGGACATTCTTGGGGATGGTTGAAGAAGTGTCAGTGGATGGAAACACAGGTTCTCTCTGCCCATAAGCAACATACCGTAGATCGGCAGCTAAAGGACTGTCAAGTGATATTATATGCTTTGGATATGATTGCTGAACGATGTAGACACAGAGGGAAGGTTGGGAAAGTTCACTGTCAGAAATATGCAGGATCCTCTGACACGACTTCATAGCACTGTTGTCAAGTGGAGAAGGTTTATAAAACTGAGAGCCTTTAAAACATGGCAGTCCATTTAATTTGTCATTCCCCGCCGAGCTGATCAGAACTTTCGGAATATTATTATCGGCTAAATATACTGATAAGTGTTCCTTTCTAAAATTTGGCAACGGATTCAGAATTACTGTGTCTTCGGATACTAAGATGCCACCCGTATCGTGTAACAAATCACGGCCAAAGTCATGCGAATTTTCACAACCAACCCATCCTGGCATTTGCTTCAAACCAAGATTGGCAATGGAGGATTTAAGCTCATCCAGCCAGTCGTTATATTTGTCTTGTCGGGGTGGGATCTTATAATGAATCTCTAATACATCGGGCTCCATGTGGGTCCAAACACTGCGAACACTTAAGTAGTGAATATACTCGAATGTTCTGTTCCCACACCAAACGTAAAACACCGTGTTGGGCACTACGTGTTGTCCGAGGTCGTCAAAGCTGCGTGGTGGCAACTCACCTGGCAGGTCTAGTCCTCTCATTGACATTCTATTTAACAGTCCACCTTCCTTAACAGATTCATGAGAGGTCTGCCGATTAATCTTTAGAAGCGATCGGTTTTGAATAAGTGATGAGAAGTCTCTGATTAGAGGTTGCTGCACCATCACGTTGATGTCCCCGCTGTGTCGACGAAGGCTAGAAGCTGCATCCTGGAGCATATCACTATCGTTGAAATGCTGTAGACCCATGACAATGCACAAAACAGCTACTGCAATTAATCCCACGGTCTTCTTCTTAAACCGAGGCATGATGACTGGCTTGTCTGAGTAAACAGAGTTCTTCTGGTCAGTACCGCTGACTTGCTTCCAGGTCAGGGATTCTTCTTCCAGTCAATGAATGCTACCGGGCGCTCCAAGAATATATTTTGGATGACGGTCCAGACCTGTAACACAGAAGGGAATTGCTAAGAAGTGGATAATTCCTTTCACGCAGGTCGTTAATATAGTGCTGTCAGGTACATGAGATATCCTCAAAACATGTCTAAAGAAGCCATAGAAGTCTAAAGAAACCATATGCTCCCCTAAAACATTAATGACGACGGATCATTTTGTGCACCTACGTGTTTTACATATCGTCCAACCAAAGTGAGTGAATGTTGTTTTCAACCAACTCTCATAGCATGGATCGTTCCTCACTTACTCTCTGTGTGTGTGTGTGTGTGTGTGTGTGTGTGTGTGTGTGTGTGTGTGTGTGTGTGTGTGTGTGTGTGTGTGTGTGTGTGTGTTTTGTTAGCCTAGTGGTTAAAGCGTTCGCCCGACACGCCGAGGACCCGGGTTCGATTCCCAAAATGGGTACAATGTCTGAAGTCCATTAATGGTATCCCCCGCAGTGATATTGCTGGAATTTTGCTAAATGGGGCGTAAGTCTAGACCCACTCACGACCTGGTATAAACTGACAAAAGTGAAATTCTGTTCTGAGCGGCGGTAGGCAAAACTTATACGTATATCGAGGAGGCATTAAGCTAAAAAATAGCTACCGGAGAACAGAGCTGGCCCTATTGAAAGATACGACAGCGACTATGTTTTGACGATGCTGAATAATGCTTGTACACATATTCCTCTTCGTCATGCTGCTGTGACCTGGGAATGTCATCCCTGTGAGTTAGAATGCGCGCCCCATCACTGGTTTCAGTTACCATCCTATTGTAAGCGTGACGTGGGGTGTGACACAAGATTACTCCAGATACACAAATCGCATGCATGTCTCAGTGCCTAGTCAGACTAGTTCTCAGTCATAAAAACCTACATGCTTTACACATTCTTTAGTAAGTACTATACACGCCTGGGGACCTTTGTATAAACACATGACTCATATCACGACAACAGTCACAGTGATGGAAATCGTTCTTCTTTACTTCTCACAAAAGCGTAACTGCTGCAACATCAAGCGAATCATGCAAAACTCTGGTAGTTCCAATAGGTAGCATTTATAAGATTCTTATGTTCTGAACAAGTTACAGCTTTCAACTTGTGTCACTTGTTGATTCTCAAGTTGAAACTGATACAGTAGTTAACAGGAAATCAGCCCCAAAACTAACTCACTGTGAGTCGAAATACAACAGAGCAATGTAATATACCCATGCCAATAATGGTTCTCACCCCCTCCCCACACACACCTCACACCCCCACCCCACACCACCTCTCCAATTAAAAAATTGAAGGGGGTGACAACCATTATTGGCATGAGTATATAATTACCAATTGTATTCTAAAATAAACAAAGTTTACACATTAATACAGATCACTACAAAGGTATTTATGGTGCAACATAGAGTAGCAGCACAAAGACAGTATAATATAAAAGCAATGATTACAGCAATACAGACAGAGATATAGTTTAAAGGTCTCTTGGGTTGCCCCGTAGTACCTTCTAGAACTCTGTCTAATTATAGCACAAGTCTAAATATAGCACACCACGGCAACCCCAACAGTGCTGCCTAACACATGGCCTTCACAAACATTCCTGCGCAACATCTTTCAAATTGAGATGTCCTTGGTTTTCTTACACATGAGATACACTGAAACGCAATGCAGCAAAGCTACAAAAGAGGAAAACAACTTAGATCGAACGAGCCATTTAACAAAAACCCAGGCTATATATCTGCCGCACTTGGTTAGCCAAGACAAAGATCACCACTGATATGGACGTGGTAATATCCTCTCCCAAAAATCCACGCACGTTCAGACCATAGAGTGTGGACACTATGGTATTGCTCTCAAACCAGTGGTTGTGTTTCTAAGGAGAGACAGCGATATAGAGACAGTTAGTCGGGTCTGTGGACCGTGTAGGGCGTTTATGGGACAATGTCACAGACAGCTTGAGATGTTTTACGACATCAACGTAACACAAGACACCGGCGTATGAATAAGGGGTGGATGGGGGCATGATATCAGTAGTGTAGCGACAGATGAAGTGTACTGGCCAGTGAACTTACAGCGACCTCCAGCAAGCCATGCTAGTCATGAACCATGCTTCCACACATGTCAGTCAAAAATATTTTTAGAGATTATACGTAGTCCCGGGCAACTTTATAATATATGTAGGCGATCAGATTAGGATAGTGTTATAAGTAATCCGAGTAAATATAAGTCAAACCTATAAACAAACAATACAAGTTTACAAAATCATCAAACAAATAGTATCTTAATATGATGTGTGCAAATAGTACTAGAGGATAATCCTATTAGCCAACGGAGACGAGCGCCACCACAGCGCTGACACTCACACAACAACCCCCCTGTGTCTTGCCTGTGTATCTCTGTGAGTGAGTAAGTATGGTTTTAAGGCGACTATAGTAATAGCGGGGACACCAGAAATGGGCTTCACACATTGTACCCATGTGGGGAATCGAACCCGGGCAAACGCTTTAACCACTAGGCTACCCAACAGCCCCCAGTGTAAATCTGTAACTGCAATAGTCCAGCTTCATCGTGGAGGCATGTTGAAGACCGGATCTACGTCAGTCGAACTAGTGGTTGATAGCATGAGAACCGATCAATCAGGGAAGGATGAAAACGACATTCACTTAAATCATGTCACACTAGGTAAATATTTTATATGATAAATTGGATTTTGTCGAGCTCATAAGTCATGTCAACGAAGTGATCATTCTTTTACAACACACACAACTTTCGAAATTCGTCTTTTTAAAATTAGTCCAAAGATCAGCATAATCCTGATTTCAATCCTCCTATACAGCGTGTGTGTAGCTGGGAGGAAACTCTAATGTCTTGTAATCTTTAATGTTTTTCTTCCAATATATGCCAAAGCTAAAACATCGAGAACTGGTTCAGAATTCTAGTCCTGTGTACTACTCCGTGCTGAGAACCCATCATTGGATGTTTACGTGTCCGCAATACAAATTAGGTGTCACGGTCTAGCGGTCAAGCATATATTCAGTAGACTGCCCATAAGCAATAAATATGAGCATACACGACAAAATACAGAGATAGGGTATAAATATATATCATCTGACATCCAGCGTTATAGTGTAATGTGTTGTATAATCACCCTAGGGGCGGTGGGGTAGCCTAATGGTTAAAGCGTTGGCTCGTCACGCCGAAGACCCGGGTTCGAATCCCAACATGGGTTCAATGTGTGAAGCCCATTTCTGGTGTCCCCCGCCGTGATGTTGCTGGAATATTGCTAAAAGCGGCGTAAAACCAACTCAGTCAGTCAGTCAGTCAGTATAATCACCCAACGCACACGTCACAAGGATATCGGCCTATCAAACAAAAGGAACATGCACGATTGATCAAGACTCCATTAGCTGTTGCTGCGTCGATTCATTGAAAGAAAGACTTAGCAAGTCCCTAGTGGCGCCGCCTCAATGATCTCTATCCCTTATTGATTATTGCTGTCAGTGTTCATGGAACCTATAACCTTGGTCCACTCAACCGTAAGGGCATCTGTTAGCCGTCGCTTACGTTGGGAACCAGTTCGACTGGTACATGAAGTCGTATTGATCAGATCCAGGTACATGCCTCTATGTTGAATGTATGAATTAGTATACGTATAGTACGCCCTAAATGTTAGAACACAGTAGGAGGGATGTTGTCACTACCCTCTGACACCTGGGTGGGGTCTGGAATAGCGCCGGTTATGTTTCCTCCGGTTGAACGTACTACCCGACACATGTGTCGTTCATAATCACAGCTATAGTGAGTTACGCAATTTCTAAATGAAATAACGAATACAAACAAACAGCCTTGAGTGCCCCAACAGTTGAGTCCTTGATCTACATAACAGGGCGTGAAGATCCATAGTCAACATGGAGAATCATCAGCGTTAAAACAAACAGAAACCTGTTTTCAAAATCGATAAAACAGCTCAAATCAGTGATTGAAAGAACGAAATAGAATTCACATTACCACTCACTGACGATCCCAGCATGAACAGGCCAGGTCCTTTTTTCATGCATCTCACATGTCAATTAGCATGTGTTTACAGCTAGGGCTGAACGTGCACCCTACCATTTCCCAGATCATGGTTCCACTTCTGTCACACATTATATACAACCTATCGATGGAGGAATATCAAGACTAAACACAGTTGAACATCCAACCTTTCAGAGTTTTACCGTGAATATCCGATAACAAATTCCTGGTGATTTGACAACAACAGCATATGACAACATTTCCACGTGTTTAAGTGAGAGAGTATTTCGCTTACCTCGCCTCGTAAGGTCCAGGAGTAGGATCGGTTATCAATAGCCTGTGGGAGGGTCAAATCGGATTCAATACCATGCTATTCACAGTTTTATCCCCCTGCTGTTCGAGCTGGCCAGGGGCTCGACTCTCCAACAGCTGATACAATACTATGTTACCCGCGATGGTATCACCCTGCTATTAACGCTTCTAGAGAAGACTGTCGCCTCTCGCGGAGTCAATGCTCATGCGCATTCCTGTGTATTTGAGTGTGTCGGGGAAACCGAAGCAGACGATCTGGTTCGACAGGGCGCTGCACAATAGACTTGCTCAGGCTTTACTTTTAAGCCAAGCAGCTGTATTTTAAAATTGAAAAAGACTGTAAATATACTCGACTTGTATTAGCAGTGCCAATTTGTGGTGCTTCTAAAAAAATGTTTAGGTTGTGTTTTTTACCTTGTGCTATTTTAGAACGGAAAGAAAACGTGATTTCAATTTGTTGGCTGACGGAGTGCGTATGAGTAATCACTCTAGCTGGGAAAATAATATCAGTGATGTGAATCACCAATCAAAAACTTCCACCCAACTTCCCCACCGTCATCACCATTCCCGCACCTAATCCCTCCATTTATTTAAAGAAGCATCCTTTCAACCGTTACATGCAAATATATGTATATAGCCGATCCACAATTCACGAGCCTCATAACGAATGACATCGAGGCGTACTGCACCTAT